GTAATGGGATGAAACTAGTTGATTGTGGGTGACTGAAAATCAAAGAGATAGAGTCATTTGAATGGAATGTTTGATATGGGCTCTATGGAGAGAATATAGTGTGTTAATTGATTTTTTTTATTACGTAGGTTCTTATATGACACACCTACTTTGTCTGGGACATTATTTGAAGTATCATTTCAGTTATGATAGACTTGGTGTTGTTTGGGATAGTTAAAGTATTTCAATGTGTCTATAGGCCCAACCTTGCTTATGAGAACTTATATAAGAACTACTATGAAGAGTTACAATTGTTTAAGAGTGTTGTTACATGTTCTATATTTTGAAGCGTATCGTTTGTTGGGTGTTTAGTTAATCATTTTTTTATGAGTTAGATATATTTGATTCTCCCTTGATGAGTACCCAATGTCTAAATATTAGATTTTTATAACATAAACTCGTGAAAAGATAGTGTTGTAAAAAGAAAATCTTAATAAGATCTGTGATGGTTTGTGATTTATGAGTGTGTGGTGGTTGATTAACGTTTAATTTTTTGTTGTAGTCGATATCAATTCGAAATGTTATCTTGATTATGTGAGAAAGGATTCACCATGATAGCTATGTTATGATTCAATGGTTTTCATTTTATATTTGGTTCATGGCTACTCCTAATTTGTAATCTTCCGAAAGTTTGGTTTGAGAGTCCATTTATTAGTAGTTGGTCTTGATGGAATAGTGTTAAGGAGGAGTTCACTTGAAAAAAAAAATAAACATCACTCATGTTTTTGGTAACGTCGGTTGTTCCTTCTTCTCCTTCTTCATGTTCGAGGACGAACATAATTTTTAGTGATGGATAATGTAATGACCCGTTAGGACATTTTGAAAACTAGTGATCTCTCTTTCATAAAGGACCCTTTCTGTAAATTTTAGTGGAAATTTAGAATTACTCGTTTAACTATAGTTATTTAATTAGCGGACAATTTTTAATATTTAATTTTAGTAATTAATTAATGAGTCAATTCATAAGTTATTTAGTACCCTATACTATTTACCCATGTATTGAATTAAGTTCTTAGGGTTTAGTACAATATTAGTAAGCCTATTTCGTCTCAAATTCTCAAACAACGATGACGACAATGAATTTGGTGATTGTCTGAGTAAACCATACCCTTCTTGTATTGTATTATGTCTAAAACTTATATAATTGATATTAAATTAAGTCAGTTAGAAATTGGATAAGAATTGAAAAGTTTAGAATCAACTTTCATATGGATATGCTATTCTTAAAATTTTAAATTGTTTACTTTTTGAAAGAACAATGTAATTGCTATTGATTTTTTCTTTATAAGTTAGTGGGGGTGATATTAATGATTTTCTCTATTTCAAATTAGGGGTGGTGATATATAGGATTGGTAGTTAAGAAATTTGAATATCAATGATAGTGGGGTGGTGTTTGGATAATTAACCATGGAAAAAATATTATTCTGAAAACTAGTAGCTAAATCTTTAATATCCTATGACTAGGTTTGTAATGAAATAAAAATTATTTTGTAGTTTGTTAATTGGGAAAACAAAGGTGGGAATGATGATGAATGTATGTGGTTGGAAGAAGACTTTTAGCTTTGAAACAAAAGAAAATATATTATCATTATAAGAGGTCAATATACTGTTTCTTATTTCCTTTTCAATTTAGACTTATAATTTTCATTATTGTATAATTATCATAGCTTTGATATAATGTCATGTAATTACATATTGGATGTATAATATTATATGAAAACTACGGGGTTAAAATGTTTGAAGAAATTATGACTTAATTCTACACTTGAAATTTAGGAAATATAAGATTTAACCTATTGGTTAGAATCAAGATTTAGGAACTTTATTATACATTTGAGTGAGTTTTGAGTTTAGGCTAGACACATAGTAATGTGTGTGTTGTTAGTCTTGTAATTTTATTGTGGTCATTTATTTGGATAGATTGCTTTGAGTTGAAAGTTCAATGAAAGGGGAAGACACAAATTTCGGAGTGAATTATTCTTGAGACTGAGACAAGTGAATTTCTAAACTCTTTCTAAGCTAGCGTTTGACCATAAATTTTTAAATATTCTTGGCAAATATTATTTGAGTGGAAATTTGGGTGAAATTTCACCATGTGTTTGGCCATAGTATTTTGAGAAATATCTTTCACCTTTTTAGAAAAATATGATTTATAACCATAAGTTTTAAAAACTATCAAAACTAACTATAAATTTGTATTACAAGTCAATTGGATGTTCGTTGCAACAATAATAAATAATATCCATGACACTAGAGCAATGTGGTAGTTTGGGTGAGTGCAACAAGCTCATTTCATATATCGTGAAGTAGATAAAAGACGTGACTTTGTTACCTTGAGCCTATTTTTCATCATTTTCATCAATAACCATATCATCATTTAATATTCACTCAATATTTTGGTGTTCACGTAAAAAATTATGTAATACAATGCAAACTATTATAGTGAGTGTTTTTGTAAAAGATAAAACTAGTGTTTGAGAATTTGGGATATTTGGCAAAAACATTTACTAAATAATGACAAATTATATGGACAAACATTATTTGCCAAAATATTATTTGGAAAATCTATGGCCAAACGGACCCTAAGTGTGTGAAATGTGTGTATTTTCTTGTGGTATATATTTGGGAGTAATGAGACTTGGTGATGAATTTTCTTGTCCACATCGATTAATTTTAATGATAAAAAGGGGTAATAAAAAATGATGTGATTATTTGTTTGTATGTGATGTGTTGAGAATGGTACGAGTTTTGGTGTTATAATGGGAAGGTTTATTACTATAGAATGTAGATTGTAATCCGAGAATGCCAAAGCATATGGACATTAACTGAAATACTATTGATTTTTGATATATTATGTGTGATTGTGTTCTTTACTGACCCGTATAATTGTGATAATTGAGGTGATTATATGTCATAGCGACATTTGGTTTATTGAGATATTGCATCATCTCCTTCATTTGTTATCATATTGTGCACATGTATTGACATGAGATTGGGTATGAGTAAAGGTCTAACACGTGGAGATCGTCTGTGTTAAGATCGAGTTATGATTATTTGGGCACGTGGAGATCGTCCGTGCGATAGAAAAGTTATGAGATTTGGGCACGTGGAGATCATCCCTGCGAAATTTGTTTGATTATGATAGTGCATTGAGATTGTCGCACAGGCACGTGGAGATCGTCCGTGTCAGTATATGGACCTCGCGAGTCCCCCATGGGTCATGAACTCTCGATGTATTTTTGAGGAGTATCCTGTATATACGGTTAAGAGAAAAATTGGTATTCTGAGGCATATCACTTCATGGTGTCATATTGCATTGCATCTTATGACATTCTTCATTCTTGATGATTATGTGTTTTATTGGTGGTTGGGAATTACTTCATATTTGATTACCTCTATTTAACGAACTTGATCTTGTGTGTTGCTGATAATGTGAGTGCCTTTTTGTGTAAAGTTGTGATTGTTCAATATTGAGTTTGTAGTTGAGGATGTATAATTTTGTTAAAATGATTTTGATGAGTTGGATGCTATGAACATTGTGAAATGTAGGTTGGGCTGATTTTTATGCAGGTTGTAGTTGTGGAGGTTCGGTTGGTATGTAAGGAGTACTCATATTTTATTCCCTTCACTTGTGTTTAGACATTTACTTGCCGGTACCGTGTGGTTTGGTACTCACCCCTTGCTACTACAATTTTTTTGTAGGTTACTAGCCTGTACTTTGTGGTATCTCTCTTCTTCTTGTCTGAGGTTTCTTAGAGATTTGTGAGGTAGCTGTTTGTCGTCTCAACGTACTTTCTTTCTCCTTAGTTATGACCTTGTTCTATTCTAGAAACAAGTTCATTTGAGACTAGCATTTCTTTTGAATCAATTGTAATACTTTAGAGGCTTGTAACCGTGACAACCAGATTTTAGGAGTGTTTTGAATTGATTCTCAATTTTCTGCATTTTTATTGTAATGGTTAAATTTTAGGCTGACTTGTCTTCGTGGGATAAGACAAGTGTCATCACGCTCATTTTGAATCGTGACAAAGTGACTCTTTAAAAACAGTTTTATTAATTTGTCAAACCTCCTTTCTTTTTAAAAATAAAACTGCTTTTATTTATTTTCAACATAAATGTTTTTGAAACTTCCAACAATAATGCCAAATAAACTCTAAATTTCAACCAAATATGTAGGGGACCTTAGACAAAGTTACTCAGTTTAGCTTATACGATTAAAATTCAAATAAAAATAAATTTAGTATAATCATTTGTTTTCAAACTTTAAACATGCATATTTAAATTTATTTTAAAATGAACAATTTTTTTATTTTTTTGATTTTCCCTATCATGAATATGACTTAAATTTTTGATTTTAAAATCGAGCATCATAGTATTTCGGCTAAATAAGGGGATCTAACATTTCTCCTTTTACTCTCTTTTTATTTTTCCAAGTTTTTACTTAGATTAAGGATATATAATATAATTAATGGATAAAATTTAATTGACTAAAGCAAGATCTTACTGTGATTTGAATATAATATTCAAATATATATTTACATCTAAAATTACAGTAATCCCACAATTATAATTAAATATTATCTTATTCATAAATACATCTGTGTTAAAACTTAAAATCCCATCTCTTCCAAATTCTTTATTCCTAAATCCTATGTCATAAACTCATGATTGTCTTCCATTTTTATTTTTTTGAATTGATAACTTAGGAAAAAGTTTTATAAAAGTAAGGTACTAGTCAATTAAACAATACTTCAATTTAATCACATTTATTACTTTAAATTTTTACTTCTATTATGTCTCCTCATTTCTTGTACAAAAAATTGTGATTTTGATTATTTTTTTTCATGTAATTATCAATAATCAATAAATTAATATTTTATAATAATAACATATCTATAAGTTCATTATTGATAAATTAAATCGAATCGAACCGAACTGAATGAGCGAAGACCATTGAGAATAAGGAACAGCCAAGTGTAATTTGGTTTGAAATAGTTGTCAAATAGTGACTCCACGATGTCCACCACAGACAAGAGAATCAAAATCTGAAGCAGTGGAGCCAGCTAACCATGTGAATGTTACAGTACATGTTGTTCTGTTTTTTAATTTACATATTTACACCCACCGCTATTTATCTCCTCAGCCGCATCGACACTAAAGTTCAAATCTTTTTCTTAGTTCTTGAAAAGCATATGCTAATTCTTGTTTTTTTGTTACATTGACAGGGGTTTTGTTGTTTTTGTTGATGTTCAGATCTGTTCTGCATTTTCATTATTTATAGTTTGTTTGTAGTAAAGATTCAATCTTTACAGAATGGGGGATTCAAAAAAGTATATAACAGCTGAGGAGTTAAAGAAGCATAACAAGAGAGAGGATGTATGGATCTCTGTTCAGGGGAAAGTTTACAATGTGACTGATTGGATTAAGCAACACCCTGGTGGGGATATCCCTATACTTAATCTTGCTGGACAAGAAGCAACTGATGCATTCATTGCTTTTCATCCAGGTACTGCTTGGAAACATCTTGATAACTTCTTTACTGGTTATTATTTACAAGATTATGAGGTTTCTGAGGTATCAAAGGATTATAGAAAGCTTTGTGTTGACTTTGCTAAAGCTGGATTGTTTGAAAAAAAAGGTCATGGGGTTATGTATTCATTCTGTTTTATTGGGTTTTTGCTTTGCTTGACTTTTTATGGTGTACTTTTTAGTAATAGTTTCTTGATTCATATGCTCTCTGGAGCGTTGTTGGGGTTAACTTGGATGCAGATATCTTATTTGGGTCATGATTCTGGTCATTACGTGATAATGACAACAAAGGGGTTCAACAAAATGATTCAGATTATGTCTGGGAATTGTCTTACTGGGATTAGTATTGCTTGGTGGAAATGGACTCATAATGCTCATCATGTGGCTTGTAATAGCTTGGATTATGATCCTGATCTTCAGCACTTGCCAGTTTTTGCTGTATCTTCAAGCCTGTTTAAGTCATTGAATTCTACTTTCTATGGAAGAGAGCTAACGTTTGATTCCCTCGCGAAATTCTTTGTCAGCTATCAACATTTTACTTTCTATCCAATCATATGTGTTTCCAGGGTGAATCTATTTATTCAGACATTGTTGCTGTTGTTCTCAAAAAGAAAAGTACCTGATAGATTTTTGAACATATTGGGGATCATGGTTTTCTGGACTTGGTTTCCGCTTCTTGTTCTCTCCTTGCCTAATTGGACAGAGAGGGTGTTGTTTGTTCTCACAAGCTTTGCTGTGACCGGGATTCAACACGTTCAATTCTGTCTGAACCATTTTGCTGCCGATGTTTACGTTGGACAGCCTAAGGGGAACGATTGGTTCGAGAAACAAACAGCTGGGACTATTGACATTGCTTGTTCTCCTCAGATGGATTGGTTCTTTGGAGGATTGCAGTTCCAGCTTGAGCATCATCTGTTTCCAAGGCTACCAAGGTGCCACTTAAGGAATATTTCTCCTATTGTGCAGGAGCTATGCAAAAAGCACAATTTGTCCTACAGAAGTTTGTCCTTCTTTGAGGCCAATAGGTGGACAATAAGGACACTCAGGACTGCGGCAATGCAGGCTAGGGGTCTGATCTGGGATGCTGTTAACACTCATGGCTAGTATAATTTTTTGTTTCTGCAAAATGTTGAAGCTTTCCGTAATCTGCTTATTGTCATTATAATTGAATAATTTCTAATTTTAATTTGTGTTGCTGGATTGGAACAGAGAGACAATGTTTATGCTGTCTCAGCCGCTTGCACAATTCGGAATTTTGTTTAGGAACATGCTTAAAACTGCTTCAGCATTCCATTAGTGATTATGACTATGTGCATACATTTTTCTTTGATAGGGAGATGATAAATATTAGTTAATATCAATGTATTTATATAACCTCTTTATGTTAATTGTTGCATCTCATGTTTTGCCTAGTTAGTTTAGTCAGGTTTCCTTTGGTCAAGGGGTGAGGCTGCTGGTAATAGCATCAGTGATTGGGGAGAAAATATATGCAAGACCAAATTGGTGCGCCTGGTTGCGCTTTTGGTTATATCTTTTTTTTTTTTTTGCTGACAAGGGAAACCCGCAGCCGCTACCCTTTGGGTGCGCATAGGGTAAAACATCCCTCCTATACAATAGCTCGCAAACCACATAGGAGAGGTAACCTGCACCAGGAGTCAGAAGGCAAGCCCCTTGCTTTCGCTGGCAAGGGGTTGCACTTTTGGTTATATCTATAATCCCAATATCTGCTTCTTTTTTCTCTTGTTCTCCTGGTATGTGTTTAATCTCTTAATTGCTAGCTGTTGCATTCTATGAAGTAGATTGGTATGAGTTAATATCATTATAGCGCGGAAATGATTGGAGCTTAGAAATTCATTCCGAGTGTGCACATTCTTTGGACCATAACATGATGCCTCCTTTAGAACTGGAGTAAACATTTCTTGCATGCATCTCCCTGGAAGAATTATATCCAATTTGATCATCACTGTTCTTTAGACCATAGCATGATGCCTCCTTATTATTGCTTAGTACTTATGAAGCTGAGTCTCTTACATGTAACTAAGCAACTCTGATGCAGCTAGAAGCATAGAAATTTTTCTTAGAAGGAATAGATATGAATGCCATTGCTTGCAAGAATCTTAGAGATCTGTAGAATAGTGTCCAGGGTTATTAAAGGCACCCCCCAACCGAAGCATCGCAGGGCTAGCTGCATTTGAAGTAAGATCTTCTTGTCTTTCTATATATGGCAAAGATACCTGCAAAGACCAAGACCTTATTATTAGTTTGTCCGTTTCTTAAACCGACTCTCCAGGGTTCATGCAGGGTGGAGGGGGTGGGGTGAGGACCATTTTCCTCACAAGAAATTGTGGCCTAGATAAGTTTGAGACTTGTCTGAGTGACATTTGAGGAATCAGGGGATGGTACTACTTCATTCAATGTCATTTACTTCACTTCTTGGCAAGCCATTTAATGTCATTAACTTCACTTCTTGGCAAGATTTTAGTTGAGAAGCTGAGTCTTGTTGCCTGTCCAAGAGGGTGTCCTTTGCTGGAAAATTAAATTGTTGAAATAGCTCAACTGCTGTTTACGTATATATGCTATATGTTGAATCCTCTTTAGTTTTTTCAGCGCCTACTGCTTTATATTTTGACTTTTCTTGGTGAAAATTTTGGCTCCGTTAGTGCATCCATTTGGGACTGAATGAAAGTTGTTTTTGGTCTTAATTATGTTGCCAGAAATGCTAGTGACTATCATTTAGCATTAGCCAAATCTGAAACATGTCTACTTTGCTGCTGTTGCTATGCATATATTCTTGATGATTAGATGTCTTGAGGGGCTAGATTTGTCTAAGTAGTGTCGTTTTAGTTGCTGGTTAGAGTTATGCAAATATTAGTTATACAAAGATTAATTATGAAAAAGTTAGTAGTAATATAGAGATTAATCAGGCAAAAATCAAATTAGTTATGCGAAAATTAGTTACATAGAGAATCGTAAAGAAGAGATTGGTTATATGTGAAATTTAAGATCTCTATATAAAATGATAGGTTTGATTATTAGTTATTAGAGATTGGTTATATATGAAATGTAAGATCTCTACGCAAAATGATACATCTATATTTGGAAAAACATGAACCCAACATTTTTATATGGAAAAGAAAAAAATAATTATGAAGACAACCAAAGAAGCACTTGTTTCTTTGGGGGTGCGTGTTGGGGACCATAAAACGACTTTGTTTTGTGAAATTAGTAAAGCTCATTATGTACTCTTTGTAGAATATGTAATTGTTTTTGTCTTTTTATTACTAAGGTTTTGAAAATTTTCAGATTTGTTTTGGTAGAAACATTATTTTATTTATAAAATTTAGGAAATTTGAGAAATTTTGGTGCCAAATGCCTAAAACCTAAAAGTAGGCAATGAAAAAAAAAAAGAAGAGAAAAATCTAGCTTAGAATGTTTGTGTAAGAAAATTTTTTGAATGGAAAAGATCCTTGATAGGAAATGTTTTCCCCCTAATGAAGTCTTACTTAATGCGAATTTGAAATAGTCAGACTTTAATGTGTGTACCGGACACCATATGAGAAAATAAGAAACAAAGTAGTTGAATGCATATCTAGAGTTGAAGTGAGAAATTGCGACAACAACATATCTAAGGTGTGATTCCATTGGGTAAGGTTGGAAGAGGGTAATATGTACGTAATTTTCCCTTACAAGCTAAAGTAGAGAGTTTGTTATTCATTGAACCTCGGCTCAATTAAAAACAATACAAAACAGTTTGAAAGAAGAAGTAATGAAAGTGAAGACGTTAAGACATAGTAAATACTAAAGAAAGTGTTGCAACACAAACTAAAATTGGAATAACTTTATTACAAAATAAATACAATAATCGAAATGTTAGAAACAATCAATACTAACAAAAATATAATAAAAGGGAACTTTTAGAGTAATAATACGAATACTAGTATGAATGACTAACCAAGACAATCTTCAACCGCCTAACTAACACTCTATCCTAATTTGTGTTTGTAGACATTGAAATTTTGTGGGACTCTATAAGATGTGTTCAATTCGAGTTGGGACTCTACAAATTGTGTCCAACTCAGACAAAGATTCTTGGAGGCTACTCAACCCTAAATCCTAGTTTATGCCTATATAAAGGGTAGTAATTCCCTTAAAAGGCATCTCGAAAATTTCATAAAGAGATCAAGATCTCGAATAATCCGCAAATTGGTGGATTATTCATAGAGAGGTCAAATCTGAATCATCCTAGTTCAAGAAATACGCCACTAACGACCCTCGAATCATGGATAAATCTTAAATGAGTAGAATCAAGGGAGGAACATAATTGTATCCGCTATGTTGATGAATAAAATCACGTTCCTTTATATTTCATTTGTATGGTTTATTCATTTTTCATATGTTTAAAATTTGTTGCAAACAAATTGGCACGCCCAGTAGGACCAAATTTGTCATTCATCTCTTCTCAATTAAATCAAATCTGAAAATCTGAAGCTGCAAAGGTGGAAGAATGACTACTTTAAGCCACATATTTGAGTTTCATCAAGTTTATACTCCGTCAAACCTTGAAGCAGGGGGCATTTGTAGACATTGAAATTTTATGGGACTTTACAAGATGCATTCAATTTGTGTTGGGACCTACAAATTGTGTTCAACTCAGATAAGGATTCTTGGAGGCTACTCAACCCTAAGTCGTAGTGTATGTCTATATAAAGGATAGATAGTAAATTTCCTTAAAAGACATCTCGAAAATTCCATAAAGAAATCAAGATCTTCAATAATCCGCAAATTGGTGGATTATTCATAGAGAGGTCAAATCTGAATCATCCTAGTTCAAGAAATACGCCACTAACGGCCCTCGAATCATGGATAAATCTTAGGAGAGTAGAATCAAGGGAGAAACAGAATTGTACCCGCTATCTTGATGAATAAAATCATTGTTTTTTCATATTTTATTTGTATGGTTTATTCATTTTCCATATGTTTAAAATTTATTGCAAACAGTTTCCTCCATAGACTTTTCACCAAGATCATGCCCTCAGTAAGCTAAAACTATGTCATGTCATGTCTCAGCACCTCTCCCAAATACTCCATCGGCCTACCTCTGCCTCTATGATCCATCACCTTCGCATTGGTGATTCATGCATCTCCTTCGCATGACCAAACTATTTAAGTCTTGCTTTTGGTGTCTTATTTCCAGCGATGCCACTTTGTTATAAACATTCTTTTTTCTGATTTTGTTTCTCCTAGTATTTTCACACATCCATCTCAACAGACTCTTCTTTGCAATTTTCAATACTCATGAATTTAAAATCAATCGATTATAACCAAATATGATATATTTATCTCTTTGTGTATAAATGTTTACATAATTTGAGTCAGAAAATAATAATTTCAATGGGCCAATTTAATAGAACTTTCCCTAATAAATCCAAGTCTTACACAGAGGGAAAAAGAAGATAACATATTTTTATAGTCCATATAATAAGGTTTTTCTATTAAATTAGCAATTCTTTGTCGTCATGAAATTCTCAACGTGGTTGTATGTACCATATATATTATATTTCAATTCAAACCAAATTAGGAAAAAAATTTTATTGCTATCAAATGACCTATAATTTTAATATTAGTAATAATGAGAAATATTTAATTACAGATCATGTCAAAGTATCCAAAATGATAACGTAGGGTGATAGATCAATAACCTCATATAGCAATCTTACAATAAGTGACGTTAGTAAATTACAAAAAATTTTATTCAGGCAAGAAGAGAACCTTGATATTAAATCTGTGTTCTTATCAATATTTGGACACGTAACCTAAAGCATAATCGCGGATTCAGAATTTCGGAGGTTCGAAAAATAAAAATATAAACCTGTAAAATAGAATGCAAAGTTATGTATAACACTAGGGGTATACATGATTGGATTGGTTCGGGTTATTCAAATATTAAATCAAATCATTCGTTTAAAAATTTTAAATTTATAAATCAAACCAAACTAATAAAATTTAGGTTTTTTCGAATTTTTCAACCTCAAATTGATTTGAATTTTTCAAGTACCAAACCAAACCATTATGTCAAATTTTTAAATTTATAAATCAAACCAAACTAATAAACTTCAGATTTTTCTAGATTTTTGAATTTTTCGGTAAAACTTGCATACAAACAACATATTATTAACTTGTGCTCCAAATATTTCTTTAGTCCAATCAAAATAGAATTATCTAAGGTGCTTGTTAGAAAAAATAACACAAAATATGAGAAGAGTATTGATGACAAAAATATATTCAATAAAAAATAATAATGAA